CCAGGAAGCACAGAGAGTCCCATACAGGATAAATTCAAGGAGAAATACGCCAAGACACATATTAATCAAACTGTCAAAAACTAAATACAAAGAAAGCATATTAAAAGCAGCAAGGGAAAAACAACAAATAACACACAAGGGAATCCCCATAAGGTTAACAGCTGATCTCTCAGCAGAAACTCTACAAGCCAGAAGGGAGTGGCAGGACATACTGAAAGTGATGAAGGAGAAAAACCTGCAACCAAGATTACTCTACCCAGCAAGGATCTCATTCAGATTTGATGGAGAAATTAAAACCTTTACAGACAAGCAAAAGCTGAGAGAGTTCAGCACCACCAAACCAGCTTTACAACAAATGCTAAAGGAACTTCTCTAGACAAAAACACAAGAGAAGGAAAAGTCCTATAATAACGAACCCAAAACAATTTAGAAAATGGGAATAGGAACATACATATCGATAATTACCTTAAATGTAAATGGACTAAATGCTCCCACCAAAAGACACAGATTGGCTGAATGGATACAAAAACAAGACCCATATATATGCTGTCTACAAGAGACCCACTTCAGACCTAGAGACACATACAGACTGAAAGTAAGGGGATGGAAAAAGATATTCCATGCAAATGGAAACCAAAAGAAAGCTGGAGTAGCAATTCTCATATCAGACAAAATAGACTTTAAAATAAGGACTATCAGAAGAGACAAAGAAGGACACTACATAATGATTAAGGGATCGATCCAAGAAGAAGATATAACAATTGTAAATATTTATGCACCCAACATAGGAGCACCTCAATACATAAGGCAAAAACTAGCAGCCATAAAAGGGGAAATCGACAGTAACACATTCATAGTAGGGGACTTCAACACCCCACTTTCACCAATGGACAGATCATCCAAAATGAAAATAAATAAGGAAACACAAGCTTTAAATGATACATTAAACAGGATGGACTTAATTGATATTTATAGGACACTCCATCCAAAAACAACAGAATACACATTTTTCTCAAGTGCTCATGGAACATTCTCCAGGATAGATCATATCTTGGGTCACAAATCAAGCCTTGGTAAATTTAAGAAAATTGAAATTATATCAAGTATCTTTTCCGACCACAACGCCATGAGATTAGATATCAATTATAGGAAAAGAGCAGTAAAAAATACAAACACATGGAGGCTAAACAATACACTACTTAGTAACGAAGTGATCACTGAAGAAATCAAAGAGGAAATTAAAAAATACCTAGAAACAAATGACAATGGAGATACAACGACCCAAAACCTATGGGATGCAGCAAAAGCAGTTCTAAGAGGGAAGTTTATAGCAATACAAGCCCACCTTAAGAAGCAGGAAACATCTCGAATAAACAACCTAACCTTGCACCTCAAGCAATTAGAGAAAGAAGAACAAAAAAACCCCAGAGTTAGCAGAAGGAAAGAAATCATAAAAATCAGATCAGAAATAAATGAAAAAGAAATGAAGGAAACAATAGCAAAGATCAATAAAACTAAAAGCTGGTTCTTTGAGAAGATTAACAAAATTGATAAACCATTAGCCAGACTCATCAAGAAAATAAGGGAGAAGACTCAAATCAATAGAATCAGAAATGAAAAAGGAGAAGTAACAACTGACACTGCAGAAATACAAAAAATCATGAGGGATTACTACAAGCAACTCTATGCCAATAAAATGGACAATCTGGAAGAAATGGACAAATTCTTAGAAATGCACAAACTGCCAAGACTGAATCAGGAAGAAATAGAAAATATGAACAGACCAATCACAAACACTGAAATTGAAACTGTGATTAAAAATCTTCCAACAAACAAAAGCCCAGGACCAGATGGCTTCACAGGCGAATTCTATCAAACATTTAGAGAAGAGCTAACACCTATTCTTCTCAAACTCTTCCAAAATATAGCAGAGGGAGGAACACTCCCAAACTCATTCTACGAGGCCACCATCACCTTGATACCAAAACCAGACAAGGATGTCACAAAGAAAGAAAACTACAGGCCAATATCACTGATGAACATAGATGCAAAAATCCTCAACAAAATACTAGCAAACAGAATCCAACAGCACATTAAAAGGATCATACACCATGATCAAGTGGGGTTTATTCCAGGAATGCAAGGATTCTTCAATATACGCAAATCTATCAATGTGATTAACCATATTAACAAATTGAAGGAGAAAAACCATATGATCATCTCAATAGATGCAGAGAAAGCTTTTGACAAAATTCAACACCCATTTATGATAAAAACCCTGCAGAAAGTAGGTGTAGAGGGAACTTTCCTCAATATAATAAAGGCCGTATATGACAAGCCCACAGCCAACATCATCCTCAATGGCGAAAAACTGAAAGCATTTCCACTAAGGTCAGGAACAAGACAAGGTTGCCCACTCTCACCACTCTTATTCAACATAGTTTTGGAAGTTTTAGCCACAGCAATCAGAGAAGAAAAGGAAATAAAAGGAATCCAAATCGGAAAAGAAGAAGTAAAGCTGTCACTGTTTGCAGATGACATGATACTATACATAGAGAATCCTAAAGATGCTACCAGAAAACTACTAGAGCTAATCAATGAATTTGGTAAAGTAGCAGGATACAAAATTAATGCACAGAAATCTCTGGCATTCCTATATACTAATGATGAAAAATCTGAAAGTGAAATCAAGAAAACACTCCCATTTACCATTGCAACAAAAAGAATAAAATATCTAGGAATAAACCTACCTAAGGAGACAAAAGACCTGTATGCAGAAAATTATAAGACACTGATGAAAGAAATTAAAGATGATACAAACAGATGGAGAGATATACCATGTTCTTGGATTGGAAGAATCAACATTGTGAAAATGACTCTACTTCCCAAAGCAATCTATAGATTCAATGCAATCCCTATCAAACTACCACTGGCATTTTTCACAGAACTAGAACAAAAAATTTCACAATTTGTATGGAAACACAAAAGACCCCGAATAGCCAAAGCAATCTTGAGAACAAAAAATGGAGCTGGAGGAATCAGGCTGCCTGACTTCAGACTATACTACAAAGCTACAGTAATCAAGACAGTATGGTACTGGCACAAAAACAGAAAGATAGATCAATGGAATAGGATAGAAAGCCCAGAGATAAACCCATGCACATATGGTCACCTTATCTTTGATAAAGGTGGCAGGAATATACAGTGGAGAAAGGACAGCCTCTTCAATAAGTGGTGCTGGGAAAATTGGATAGGTACATGTAAAAGTATGAGATTAGATCACTCCCTAACACCATACACAAAAATAAGCTCAAAATGGATTAAAGACCTAAATGTAAGGCCAGAAACTATCAAACTCTTAGAGGAAAACATAGGCAGAACACTCTATGACATAAATCACAGCAAGATCCTTCTTGACCCATCTCCTAGAGTAATGGAGATAAAAACAAAAATAAACAAATGGGACCTAATGAAACTTCAAAGCTTTTGCACAGCAAAGGAAACCATAAACAAGACCAAAAGACAGCCCTCAGAATGGGAGAAAATATTTGCAAATGAATCAACTGACAAAGGATTAATCTCTAAAATTTACAGGCAGCTCATGCAGCTCAATAACAAAAAAATAAACAACCCAATCCAAAAATGGGCAGAAGACCTAAATAGACATTTCTCCAAAGAAGATATACAGACTGCCAACAAACACATGAAAGAATGCTCAACATCATTAATCATTAGAGAAATGCAAATCAAAACTACAATGAGATATCATCTCACACCAGTCAGAATGGCCATCATCAAAAAATCTAGAAACAATAAATGCTGGAGAGGGTGTGGAGAAAAGGGAACACTCTTGCACTGCTGGTGGGAATGTGAATTGGTTCAGCCACTATGGAGAACAGTATGGAGGTTCCTTAAAAAACTACAAATAGAACTACCATATGACCCAGCAATCCCACTACTAGGTATATACCCTGAGGAAACCAGAATTCAGAAAGAGTCATGTACCAAAATGTTCATTGCAGCTCTATTTACAATAGCCCGGAGATGGAAACAACCTAAGTGCCCATCGTCGGATGAATGGATAAAGAAGATGTGGCACATATATACAATGGAATATTACTCAGCCATAAAAAGAAACGAAATTGAGCTATTTGTAATGAGGTGGATAGATCTAGAGTCTGTCATAGTGAAGTAAGTCAGAAAGAGAAGGACAAATACCGTATGCTAACACATATATATGGAATTTAAGAAAAAAAAAATGTTATGAAGAACCTAGGGGTAAAACAGGAATAAAGACACAGACCTACTGGAGAACAGACTTGAGGATATGCATGGGAGGGGGAAGGGTGAGGTGTGATAGGGTGAGAGAGAGACATGGACATATATATACTAACAAACGTAAGGTAGATAGCCAGTGGGAAGCAGCCGCATGGCACAGGGAAACCGGCTCGGTTCTTTGTGGCTGTCTGGAGGGGTGGGATAGGGAGGGTGGGAGGGAGGGAGACAAAGAGGGAAGAGATATGGGAACATATGTATATGTATAACTGACTCACTCTGTTATAAAGCAGAAACTAACACACCATTGTAAAGCAATTATACCCCAATAAAGATGTTAAAAAATAAATAAAAAATACTTTTGTGCTACTTTTAAAAAAGGTCTTCAGGGAAGTATGGCTGAATTAATGTCTAACTCCTTGTTACTGGGGAGCTTTCATAGGGATACTGGTCATATGCATTTAGCCTGGGAGCTAGTGTCAACTGGAATGGGGCAAGGGTCCGTTTTCTTGAGTGCCTGGAGGCTGACCACCACTGGAGGGAGGGAAGAGTGAGAATGCAGATGGTTGCTGAGAAGGGAGACAACACTGGACTATTTTTAGACACTATTAACTGCTCTCTCTAAAAGGCCCTATCCAACCAACCGAACCACGATAAATAAGCATTCATGTCATACCCAGCACCAAAGCGCCACGGAACAAACTGGAATCCTCCAAGTCCCTTACTTTTGTGAGAACTGCTGTATGCTCTTCTCCGCAACTGATATAGACGACTTTTTGTGTTCGTAGGAGCTTCACGTGGCAAGGAGACTCTCGATCTAGAATGAGAGAAATAGCACAGCGTCACTACCATTTGCCTCTGAGACGTACACAGCTGTCTTAGCCTGAATTGTGGGTCCCCCTGGACTCCTGACTCTCATGTTCCGCTTCCTGCCTGAACCTCCACTTGCATGTCTAACAGATGCCTCATTTTTAATGTATTTAAAACTTAACTCATGGGTTCCCTCCACTCCCCAGTTCTTCCCACCGCTCCGCCCCACTCCCCATACATAGCTTTCCTCATTTCACCCTTGCAGCTTTTCCTCTTTCTTTCAAACTACACATCCAACAATGAGCAAAACCAACTGGCCCACCTTCAAAATATATTCAAGTCCATCTTTATTCCCACTACTTCCAAACTGGTCTCCCAGCTTCCCCCGTGGACCCACTCTAGGCAAAGTTAAACTGGATCAATCTCCTCAACACCTCGGTGTCTTCCCTGATTTCACTGAGAGGAGCCAAACTCCTTAGCCTGCCCTTCAGGCCTTACATAAAGGGTCCCCCCCCCGCCAGCTCTCTGAGCTTCTGTCTTCCAGTCACCCCAGCCCTGAGCACACCACAGATCCTCGTGCGCCAGAGCTTCTGCACACCCTGTTCCCTCTGACTGGAACAGTCTCCGCCCAGCGAATCTACATGTCTCCTCTCCGACTTGACTTCCTACAGGGCTCTGCTCAAACATCTCATCCGAGAGGCCCTCCCTGGCCGCCTTATATGAAACAGGAACCTTTCCTCTCAAAGCCTGTGACATACTGTAGACTTACTGGTCTGTGGTTTGCGTCTGCCCACTAGCAGGCAATCTCCACTAAGCCAAGGGTATTCTCTGTGTTGGTCCCTGCTATACCCTTAGTGCCTGACATGGGGCCAGCACATACAATCTCCTCAGGAAGCACATACTAAACAAATGTGCTTAAGAGGGCCACGTGAAGACTTCACCTACCTTTCTCATCACTGAGCCCGAGCTGCCCCGCGTTATTCATCCCCCAGCCAAATACAGCTCCCGAGAGAGACAGGGCAAAGCTGTGGGCCCCTCCTGCAGTCACCTGTGCCAGCGGGATCCCTTCCAGGGACCTCACCCTCTGCGGGCTGGCTTGGGAGGGGAACTCCTTCCCCAGGCCCAGCTGCCCATGGCTGTTCTTCCCCCACGTGAAGAACTGGCCATCTGAAATAAGAGGAGGATAACTGGTATTACCAGAAATGATACAAGTGCCATCCACAAAAATAACCTTGTTAGAACACCAGGGTTGCCCGGTAGGCTCCTTTGTTAGTGCCCTCCGGCCGCAACACACACACACTCAAGAGCAAGGGAGCAGACACACTTCATGCTGCAACCAAAACTCCCACTTGTCATGACAACAGAGATAAGCTGAGCCTTATCACCCTTCCAAGGCTATTAACATTTATGCAAAGAAAAAAGTAAATGTTTAAGTCAATTCAGTTTTGAATAGCAGGCTGTGATCCACTAAGCAAGGTGAAAGAGTTCTGACCACACCAGGACCATGAGAGACCCAGGACTTCACGGGGTCTAGCTATGACCCAGACGGCGCCACAGAGAATCAAGCAGGACCTGTTAGTGCTGACTTCCCTTCAAATTTATCCTAACAAAATAAAGCATTATTTGCTGGCTTAGGTTTTTCTAACTCCATCCTCTTCATTTACTTGGGAGCTTCACGGTGGAATATAATGCCATAGTGAGCATAGCTAAGAAAAACCAATCTTCCGCTCAAGAACACGACTGACGTACTGTTTCCTCATCACCTTCCCCCGAGAGACAGTTGGAGCAGCAATGATGACCACCTCCTTCATCATCCAAACCCTGAGAAAAGTATGAGCTACACAAAGGCTGTCTGAGAATTGATGCTGTCCAACAGGAATGCACAGACCCTAACTAGTTAGTTAAAGGTATCCAGTTAGATAACATCACACAAAAATGCAAAGAGAGGGCTTCCCTGGTGGCGCAGTGGTTGAGAGTCCGCCTGCCGATGCAGGGGACACGGGTTCGTGCCCCAGTTCGGGAAGATCCCACATGCCGCGGAGCGGCTGGGCCCGTGAGCCATGGCCACTGAGCCTGCGCGTCCGGAGCCTGTGCTCCGCAACGGGAGAGGCCACAAGAGTGAGAGGCCCGCGTACCGCAAAAAAAAAAAAAAAAAAGCAAAGAGAAATGGTTCTCAAATTAACAGAACATTGCAGAGATGTACTTACCAGCTGCAAGAGCCAAGCAGTGCCAGTTGCCACAGGAAACTTGCAATATTGTCTGCTGGTTCAGCTTCTGTATTAACCTAAAACAGAAAAGACTTTCCTCTTAAGAAGGGCATTCACGAACAATGAATGGAAATATTCCCAACTAAACAAAACAGTTGTAATAAGTAACATCTTCCACAAAAGACTTTAAAATCAAACATATAATCTTACATGATATAATTCTATTAAGTCTTTCACTAACCTCCGGCCTCTTTGGTAGCTACTGTTTAAAAAAAAAAAAAAAAATTCTGCACCTAAACCCATTACCATAGCCCTCTGTTAATTCCCACCTTGTCATCTCCAATTCAGGGACGAAAGGAGTAAACTACAGAAGAAAGATTCCCTAAGAACATGGCTAGTATCTAAACGGCTTTCAAATGAGGGTAATGCCATGATTCAGTGATCCCACTTCTGGGTATATATCCAAAAGAACTGAAAGCTGGGTACCAAAGAGATATTTGTATATCCACATTGATAGCAGCATTATTCAAAATGGCCAAAAGGTGGCAGCAACCCAAGTATCCATCAACAGATGACTAGAAAAACAAATGAGGTATACACATTTGGAATACGTATACAACAGAATATTCATCAGCCTTTAAGAACAAAAACTCTGACACATGCTACAACATGGATGAAACTTGGACATTATGCTAAGTGAAATAAGCCAGTAACAAAAAGACAAATAATGCATAATTCCACTTACGTGAGATAGCTAGACTAGTCAAAGTCATACAAACCAAAGTCTAACAGTGCCTGCCAGTGGCTGGGAGAGGAGAAATGGGGAGCTGTCATTTAATGAGTACAGAGTTAAATTTCTGCAAGAGAAAAAATTTCTGGAGATTGGTCACACAGCAACGTGAATATACTTAACACTACTGAACTGTACACTCTAAAATGGATAAGATGGTAAATTTTATGTTATGTGTATTTTACCATAATTTAAAAAAATTAAGAAGGGCAATGCCTCCAAAACTCTGATTCCCTAGGATGATAAAGAGGAAGATCATATGATAAACCTGTTTGTTTGTTTGTTTGCGGTACGCTGGCCTCTCACCGTTGTGGCCGCTCCCGTTGCGGAGCACGGGCTCCGGACACACAGGCTCAGCGGCCATGGCTCACGGGCCCAGCCGCTCCGCGGCATGTGGGATCTTCCCGGACCGGGGCACGAACCCGTGTCCCCTGCATCGGCAGGCGGACTCTCAACCACTGCGCCACCAGGGAAGCCCCATATGATGACTTTTAAATCCCGCTGCTCTGCTTGCTCGTGTCAAAGACAGAGATAAGAACAGTACCCATTCACAGGGTTGTGGTGAGAATTAAAAGAAAAAATTCATGCTTGGCACTGCCCAACAGAGGTGGACAGCCTGAGAATATCTGCTGCTTCCTACTTTAGTAATTCACAAGTTGCCGTTTTCCTCTTCATTAAGTGTATGCCATGGGAACAAAGGAGTCAGACGGGCACACTTTCGGGAAGGGGCATTTTAGAAGACAGACATCCAATAGGCGAGGAGGGGGTTACTTAGAGTGATAGGTAGATGTTGATTTTGTTAATGGTTTATTTTCTCGGATCTAAAAAAATTTATAAAATAGAGTTCACATATGCATTTAGTACCAAACAGAACCCAACTATTTTTTATGGTAGATTCACATGCAATTGTAAGAAATAATACAGAGATCCCTTGTACACTTTGTCCAGCTTCCCCCAGTGATGACATTTTGCAAAACTACAGTATAGTATCATAACAAAGATACTGACATTAATATAACCTACCAATCTCATTTATGTTTGGGTTGGCCAAAAAGTTCATTCAGGTTTTCCCACAGGATGTTACAGGAAAACCCAAACGAACTTTTTGGCCAGGCCAGTATCTCCCCAGTTTTATTTGTACTCATTTCTGAGTTTGTAGTATTTGTGTCACCTGTGTAGGCTCATGTATCCAGCACCATACTCAATGGTTCCAACACCACAAGGATCTCTTTTGTTGTACTTTTATAACCACTCCTCCCCTCCCCCACTCGTAAGCCCTGACAGCCACTAATCTACCCTCCATTTCCACAATTTTGTCATTTTGAGAATGTTACATAAATGGAACCATACAGTAGGTAGCCTTTTGGGATTGGCTTCTTTTTCACTCAGAATAATTCCCTGGACATTTGTCCAAATTGCTGCCTGTATCAGTAGCTTGTAGAACCCCACTATTTTTTTAAATTGGAAAGTGTAATACTGCTTTGGGGCCCAGTGTCTCAGAACCTTATGCGGCAACAGCCCTTTTTCCTGGCCAGCTTCCACTCAAATTCCCCACACTCCTCCACTGGAGTCACTGGAGGGTCACCGTTACCCTCAATACAACCTCCACAATCACAGTTACAGAGAGGAAGCAGGTCAAAAGGACAAGACAAACAGTAAGAAATTATACCCTTGAGGTGGAGAAAGCGGGATACACATGCACAAGCATATACTGTGTTTTACCTACTCACCTTACTGCACCCTCCCAATAACTTTGTAAAGGTACACAATACTACGTAACTCCATTCTTAAGTTAGGAAATCGAGGCCTAGATAAGTTCAGCAATTTGCCCAAGGTCATTCACGTAATAAGTAATAGAGCCAGTACTGGAATCTGAGTCCGTATGACCTCGAATCTATGTTACTTTCCACAATACTAAGGTATGAATTAATGAATTTAATTAAGTTATAATATGAAATTATATACAAACTAAACCCTCAGAAGTCATCCATAATTTAGACATGACTAATAAAAATAATAACAAACTGCGACTCTAACACAGATTACTCCATTTTTAGAAATGAAATGCCACTAAACAGCTTTTCTTGAGTCTTTGGACATCAACGAATGAAATACTTTTGTCATTAATGTTATAAGTCTTTTCCTTAATATTACAATTGCGTTAAAATATAGCATCCCCCTTTTTAAAATTTCTACTCTCCCTCTTCCCCCCAAATTAATTTTTGGAAGTAATGAATCCAAGACACTACCTGTTCTAAATCAGGAAGTGGAATCAAATCATTCTTACCTCCCTGTTCCTCTTTTCCCTAAAACAGCTTTTGATTAAAGAGACAAAAATCTAAGAAGGGCAAAAAAGGAAGAGGAAGAAGAATGTATTGTCCTTTAAAAGGGACAATAATTGGGCAGGGAAGGAGAAGCATTTAAGAAACACACTTGCACTGAGCAATGCATATGTGATGGAGCACCCTTAGCAATGGTGATGCTAAAATGAACGATCCAGGTCTCCTGGCATCACGAGCTCCCGGCTTTGTACTAAAAATAGTTATTAAATTAAAAATTGCAAAGAATGTGACAAGTACTGCAATACAAGGAATGTTGTACATCTGCAGTATAAAGGAGCAGGAATTAAATGAAGGAAATAAACCAGCGGTCTCTTTGATCATTAAGAACCCTCAACAAACAGAGATGCGCCCCCTCCAAAACGTCCACCTGAAAGTAACTTCAATATTTTAGACATTTACTTAGTGGTGAAGCATCTGTTACGTATTTAGCTAAACCATCTAAGATTCAGAATTAAGTAAATACTTAAGGGACTAAAAACCATTGTATTAGTACTTTTGTGTTAAACAACTTATGTATATTTGGTATTTTAGCTGTTGGTAATGCTTAAGGTAATTTGGCCTGTTATTAGAGTATCAGGTCAGCCTTGTGATTCTATTTTAAAGTGACTCATTGAATAATTGTTTTAGGTTTGCAATTTTAAGTTAAAGGTTAGTAAGTCCAGCAATATGAAAAGGTGTTTTTTTATTCAAACACTATTGAGTTCCAAACACTCTGCCAGCAACTAGGCTACTGGAATAAATAAAGTACAGCTCCTGAACAACTCACATTTTTTAACTGGAGACAGACACTTCTATAAATCATTACAATTTTTGTGACAAGTGTTATAACAGTATAAGGCATGACAGTGACACAAAGGAAACTGCAATCAAAAGAAGAAAGCAGAACCCAAACCAAGGAATCTAACAAAGAAACTAGCAGGAAATAATATTTACAGCAACTGACATTCTTACCTGGGTACTGCCACAGAGTCCTCAGTAGTCATGAGTCCTAGTTGACCATCGCTCCCTGCACCCCAAGAAAACAGCTGGCCCCGGTCACTGAGGGCCAGACTGTGGGACTCGCCACACGCCACGTGGACAATATGCTGATCTGCCAAAGCTCCAATTTGCTCTGAAGAAAAAAAAAAAAAAAAAAAACCCAAAAGAGGAAAATGTAAAGCCCAGAAACGGGAATTACACAGAATTAGCTTCCTAGGCAGTTATGTTTTTCAGAAAGAACCACTACATCTGTATATTTATAAAGATTTTATGTGTTTCTAAAAGGTATCCATTGAAACCCCAGCTATACTGGCTAGCACACACGCCTGGAGCGACACACACACCAGATGTTCCCCCCGTACCTGCTGCTTCTCCCCAGAAAGATGCCTGAAGGCTTACTATTCGGACATGCGGAACCAGCGAGGCCCCAATGTGAGTAAGGCATGTTACTAAAAGCAGTGGGATTGAGTGAAATTTTGCCTGGGAACGACGAGACCTCCCCCATCCAGAAAAACACCTTTCTCCCCTTAGTTCCAGAACACAATCTCTCTATATATACCTATCCAGCCAGAAGATAGAAGGCTTTCTCTGAGAAAACTGGCCCAAAAGAAAAGACCCATAGCTACTGACGTTTGTGGGTCCCCCAATGAAATGTCCAGCTTCCCGCTAGTTAACAAGACTTGCCCAAACACAGCTCCACTCACGTTTCAGCACCTCACTCTTAAATATAAAAGACTGGCCAAGGATCAACATATACATGGGGAAATTTGTTTTTTTAACATCTTTATTGGGGTATAATTGCTTTGCAATGGTGTGTTAGTTTCTGCTTTATAGCAAAGTGAATCAGTTATACATATACATATGTTCCCATATCTCTTCCCTCTTGCGTCTCCCTCCCTCCCACCCTCCCTATCCCACCCCTCCAGGCGGTCACAAAGCACCGAGCTGTTATCCCTGTGCTATGCGGCGGCTGCTTCCCACTAGCTATCTACCTTACGTTTGTTAGTGTATATATGTCCATGCCTCTCTACATAAGGAAATTTTAACGTAAAAGTTAAAGAGCAAAGGTAACAGAAGAAAGTGAACTCTGAAGAAAAAAAGGTCATGCAGGGAACAGAAAAAAAAAAAATTAAGTCATTAGAAAAATAAAACAAGACAAGAAACGTTCCAACATTCAAAAAATAAAGTTATCTTGGAAAATGGAAACATGGCAGCATAAATTTAAAGGAAAAACCTTCAAAAGCAGGATGGGAAGTAAGAACTGAAATTTTCTAAGAAACAGAAAAGGCAAAAAAAGAAAGAAATGAGGGGATTATTCCAAGAGGCCCAACAACAGAAAAATAAGAACTTTAAAAGGAGAATGGAGGGCTTCCCTGGTGGCGCAGTGGTTGAGAATCTGCCCGCCAGTGCAGGTGACATGGGTTCAAGTGCTGGTCCGGGAGGATCCCACATGCCACGGAGCAACTAAGCCTGTGCGCCACAACTACTGAGCCTGCACTCTAGAGCCCGCGAGCCACAACTACTGAGCCCGTGTGCCACAACTACTGAGCCCGTGCACCTAGAGCCCATGCTCTGCAACAAGAGAAGCCACCGCAATGAGAAGCCCGCGCACCACAAGAGTAACCCCCGCTCACCGCAACTAGAGAAAGCCTGTGCACAGCAACGAAGACCCAACGCAGCCAAAAATAAATAAATAAATAAATTTTTAAAAAGAGAGAGAATGGAAAAAACACAAAGTAGGAAATTTCAAAGAAGAAAGACATGAAGATTGCTCATAACTGAAGGACATGCGTTTCACAGAGAAAGGACCTATTAAAACTTCAGAATAAAGACTGATAAAAACCTACTTTAGAGCACCTCAGCTTGAAATTTCAGAACACCAAAAAAAGATTCTAAAAGTTTCTAGAAAGGAAAACAGTTTATATACAATAGAACAGGGATCAGAATAGCATCATATTTCTCAGAAGCAATACTGAAAACTAGAAAGCCAATAAAGCAGTCTTCAATTCTGAAGGAAAATGACTTCCAACCGAGAATTCCATATCTAGTCAACCATGAATCAAATGAGAGGAAAGGGAAAAAGAACAATTTTCAGGGATGTAAGGCTCTCAAAATATTTTCTCTCCCATTCTCAGTTAGTTACCTAACGTCACGGCTCCAAAACAAAGGAAGATTCAGGTTCCAGGAAACAGGAATCGTACATATTAAAAGGTGAAGAATATTCCCAAGACAGCTATGTAGCAGCCTGTGAAGCAAAGTTGGAGGGATGTCTCCAAAGCGAAAAATGGCATACAATCTGATGAGTTTATATTATTATGAGTTTTACACTTCTGTCAGAGAATAGAGATTACTACACAAATGAAAAAAACGAAATAACTCCAGGAAACACAATGTTTTACAGGAAATAAGAGCGATCATCGTACATAAAGTCATAATAACCAAATAAATATAATTTACATAGTTAAAAACTTAATTGACTTAAAAAATCAACTATTTAGGAAAAGATAAGCGTCTAAGGGGTGAGAAAGAGGAAAGGGTAGTTGGAGAATATAAAAGCATGCTAATCTTCCCCAGTGTGAAGCCTCTAGGTTATGTCCAATATTGAAAAAAAATCAAGAAATAGCATTATAAGCATGTCATTTAGAAATATAAAGGTAAAGACAAAAACAAAAAGAGCTTCAAGAATTGAAAGTGATGGCCTCTGCAACTGAGACAAGGATGGGGACAGGAGAGGTAGGGAGTTGCTATTGGACCTGAACACAGTTGGTATAAACGTTACTTTAAAAAAAAATTTGTTTTAAGCAGCGGAAAACATGTTCACGTCAGAGAAATCTCCTGCATGACCTGTAACTCCCGCCACTCTTTTGCGCATCTCCTTTACCCTCTACTCACCATTAGGCCCTAACTCCCAGCTTAGCCTTGCCCCACACACTAAGAACAGTCCCGTCTTTACTTTGGAAAAACTGAGAAACTCTTACCAAAATAGCTCAGGTGAATCAGATTCTTATTCCTCTAACCAAATTTCCAGTGTACCATAGTTCTAGGACTTGGGCAGCTTTTATGTTCTCCTGGGCCTGAGCGCCTGGCCTGATACCTCAGCTAGGACTCAGACCTGCCCCCCAATTCCTGACCTCCTATGTCCACCATTAGCCTTTCCTGCCTGGATGTGAGTGCACCACCTCACATGACACTAATAAGTTTCTCCCCGGTCTGACAGGACACTCTCTGATCTGCCACCAATTTCCTTACCTCGGTATCTGTCAATAGCATCCCTCTTGATCTTTTTTTCCCACGGCTGAGTAGTGTCAAAAGGCCACATCTAGATTCCAATTACCATTTACCCCCAGTCTGGTCAAGCCCTAGGCAAACCAATCCCTGGCCCATCACATATCAGCCACCAAAACAGACATGGAACTCCCACTATGATCACAACACAACTTGCAGCCCCAAAGGCAGAGGTACTGTTCAGTAATGCAAAGATTTGTGGAGAATTAAACCAATAGTTGTATCAAGTCCAATTTATTTTATTTCTCCTAGCCAGAAAACCGAGCTCATCTGGTTCATACTAGTGGTCTGCTACAGGGAAACTTTAATCCCTCTTCTAGAATCTACTCCCTAGGGTCGATTGGGAATGCATCATTCACACCTCTCACTGAATACACCCCTGCCCCAGTTGGGAACATTCAGGCTGCAGTGCACATTTTCACATGTATTCTCTTCTGATTCATTCTGTCAAGACTGTACACTGTATTTTGCAGATCATGGCAGAACCTCAACCCACACATTAAAATAATTAAACACACTAAGGAAATATTTGGCACTTTTTGACGACAAAAGTATATTTTATCTCTGATCCTCTCATAGAAACACTTTAAGGTCTTTAGAAGTCTTTAAGGTCATCAACTCTGAACAAGCCAAGGTAACAGGGCACAATAGCAGCAAATGTGGAATGCTGCTTACAGCAAGTCAGCAGTTCAACTGCACGTATGTTATTAGGATTACTGCTACTTGGCTTTTGAGCCCCATAATTTTTTAATGTATTTTCAAGTTAACAGTAAGCTGGGCAGTAAACCATCATAGGGTGGTAACAGAGGAGGATGATATGAGCCTGGAGGGTAGATGGATGCTGCTGATATGAACTTAATCCTTGCAACGATCCTGTGAGGTGACGGCTCTCTAATAAGGCCCAGCTGAGAAAAAGTGTGTAGTTTGGCCAAGGTTCACAACGAATGAGTGGTGGAGCTAGGACTGGAGCCCGGGTCTTTCTGACTTCCAAGCCCATTACACCCACAAGTCTGTATCATCTTCCCTCGTGGAAAAGGACTAGGCGGATTTTAAATCAGTAACAGTAACTACGAGGTGAAGACTCTAGTTGTGGATAATGGGAAATAGACTCTTTCCTCTTGCTGTCTGCTCTGATGAGAAATATATCCAATAGTTTGCAGTTAACAGCATGAGTAGTTGGGTGGAAAGTACACAGCATATACAATATCAGTGATCAATATTTGGTAGTAAATTTTTCATAAAGCTAAAATCAAATTAAGTGTCAGCAGTTAATATGACAAAAGGGATTCATCACTTAGATGTCTCCTTTTTTTAACTAAACATACATTTTTATTCTTATACTTTTTATCTACCTTTTTAAAATTATTTATAAAAATATACACATACACGGATACATGTGCACACATTTAAAAGAAAAAGTCAAAGGGCATATAAATATCACAGAAACATGAAAGTTTAGAAGTGAGTCAGGACAAACCTTAGGTAATCCAGTTTAGCTTCCCTCATTTCTTTAACATCTTTGATAGAATATAACCCAAGTTCCCTGCAGATCCCCAAAAAGAGAATTTCCTAGTGCCCAACTTTCCTCTGGGGCCCCTGGCTTCCCACAACTTGGCCAGACTCTCCCTCATTTTCTTTGCTTCTGTGTCTGAAAGGTCCTATCCCCAAGCCATATTCCAACTACTTTCTTATTTTCATCTAACCATTTTGGGGGATCTGGACTATGCCTAGCAGGATCACAACTCACTTTAAAGTGACCACCCCCTCCCATAAGAGATTTAATTCCGGGACTTCCCTGGTGGTCTAGTGGTTAAGACTCTGCGCTCCCAATGCAGGGGACTCAGGTTC